ACATTGTTAATGTGTAACTAACTTATACAAAAAAATAAACAGATGTATTGGACAAATAAATAGTAGCGATGCATTCATTATATTTTTATAACAACATTGATACTGTTGTGGCATAATACAAGAGAAATGTGGTGTGTTGATTCAAATAACCCTAAAATATCATGTTGCACATGATTTATTTGCTTTACTTTGAAGGTAGGATGATGGAACTATACTTGCAATAACAAACCTCGCTAACCTCATAAAATCTTATAATTGGAGAATTCCAATTAAATTAAAGTGGACAATGGAACTTAAATAAGCTTTAAGCGACGGCTTTGAATTATATTGCAGCTTTGAATAGAAATATCTACAATAAATCCAGTAGATTGTTTATTTGAAAAGTTGTGAAAACTGTTACATTTTACATTTGAAGTTCATACATTGTAGAATTTTAATGTCACATTTTAGATATGAAGTGGTTTTAGCAATGCCATGATTTTGAATTCACTACTGTTTCTATCAACATGACTATTGTCATATTATTATCAGTTCCAAAAAATATTACTCTCTAACTGAAATTGAACATCGGGATTACCAACGGCTTCTCTCATATTGCTCTACTGATAGTAATATTAAATGCCTACTAGTAGATAGAGATACACAAATTGCTCATTGGGTTTGAAGATTAATTAGTTTGGGTGATGTAGTGGCGTTGACGTCATGATACGGCGATCCAGTTAATTTACTCTTTGATTAGTGTCATGTATTGCGCAAAGTAAGGATACAGTATTCCCTAAAGTGCTAAAGTTTTCCTTATTCAAGCCGAAGAAAAAAAATTCACTCAAAACTCATTTAGCTATTTTCCTTTGTTTATTTTATTTTGTCATTCTTAATACAGTATTTTCATCATTACCGCTGCATGGTGAAAATACTGCAAACCTTTTAAAAGACGAATTTGTAAAGGTAAAGCTATAAAATTGATAATTATGGGTAGCAATAATAACTAATACGTCATACAAAACGAAACAAGTTTGTATACAGTATGAGGTATGATTATTTATAGCAGCTTAAATTTTAAAATTCTAAAATGCATGGTCAAGATTGAAGTGGAAATAGTAGACTTAGAATTCCAGTGATATCCGGAGTAGAATCCTCGAGAACCAAGGCAGAGATATTTCTTCCTTTCAGTTCTATGAGTTTTGAATGAAAAATCATCTTTTTTTTAGGGTTTGAGTCAATTAGTATCTTAGAAAAACTATATTTTCCGTTAAAGTGACAGCGTTTTTAAGTACATACGGAATTAACCTTTTTTTAATAATCAATCATTTTGTAAAAATATATACATAAATTGTCATTTTACCATGATAGAGTAATGTTACCCACCGAAAGAGTTAAGAGGAAATATCGCTAATTTAGATGTTGCATTACATTAACAATTTGAAAAATAACTGGCTTAAAGCAGGGAATAATTTGTGGACCTCCCATTTTTAACCCCCTGCATCTCCCCCTTCCACCCTTTAACTCTTCGACACTAAAATACGACTTCCGTGGATTATCCAGGAGCATCGCTTTAATACCTGGGGACTATTTTTTGTAATCCTTACTAATTTGAATCCTTAGTCTATTATATCATAAAAGCTTTTTGTTTTTAAGTCTATAAGGAAAACATTTTAGAAATTAAAAGATAAAGTTGTAACATTGCTTTAGCTTAAACTCAACAGTCTACTAGGATTTACACTTTGGTGCAACAGCTGGCATTTGGAGCTGAATTTTCCTCTTCTAAAGTTATAAATTGTTTCTAGTGAAGTACTTTATTTGGAATAATTTTCCTTTTTTATTACTTTGTATTTTTACAATAATTATATAGTCTAGTTTAAACATAGTTAGTGATACTTTATGGTCACAAGTAACAGCTCAACTTAAAGTGGTGCAATAAAAGAATATCACTTAAATTTTACCCTACATTTGTATTCAAGCTTTATTTTGATATGTAAATTTTAAACCAAAACTTTACTGTGAGCATAGGTGGATAGTGAGAATAAAAATTATTTTACTCGTTTAATTCGACTCCAAACACTATTTTTAGTTATGTAAATAATTAAGCTTAGATTATTTAATATTATTGTTATGAATCTCACTCGTTTTACTTTTCGTTATCTTCATTGCTACTGTTAATAATGTCAATATGTAAAGGTGATAGTTTTGACGTAGAAATTGATAATAACTTACTTTAACTACCTATAAATCTTTGCATGTTTTAACAAATAGAAATGGAATGCTGAATCTGTCAAACAGATTTTCTTAAATCTTTGTACAACTGAAATTTTTACCCAAGTACGTAGACTAAACATAAAGATAGAAAATAAACTTATTGTATTGGTGCAAGAGTTAGTAAATGCAAACCTTTTTCACACATATAACTATTACGTTTATTCAAGTTAGAATTTGTTACGCATAGAAATTAATCAAAATACTAGTAATGCTGTAAAATACAGTAACAAAATAATAATGGGAGATGCCATAGTAAATTAACCTATATTTGTTATAATCCTAGCTTACTATAGTTGTATACAATAAGTACATTAGCTGAAAACTAAAAGTTTTCATACTGTATTTTACCGCATTACTATTATTTTTAATAATTTATATTTTAGGCGTAACAAATTCTAACCTAAAATTCTAAAAAAAAAAACTTTCAGTATTATTATAACAATTCACACAAATGGATCAACTTTTAAATAAATATACAAATAAACGATATCCTAGTATATAATACAGTTTTTCGTCATCCTGCATCAAATCAGCCTTTAAAGTATAAAAACATGCGTTGTGGGTCTAAAGCAGCTATTTTACTCCCTAGGGAGTGAAAAGTCTTTTTAGTCTCTAGGGAGTAAAAGTCAGATGTAAAGTAAGTTTAAAACTTGGATTGCAAGTAATCGCATGTATCGAAATAATGTATCCACTGCTTTCAACGGTTGTAGCTTTATGTTGTATTCTTGTCGATAGTTCAACATATCGATACACTTACACAATCGCAATAGACGAAATAATTGTATCACTTACTAAACAGTTGGTTGTTAGCATTAGCAGTCATTAATAATTCAATTATTATCAATTAGCAAATTTGAAAATAAATTTGCAGACAAATAATATACAGTAAATTACATTCGTATTGAGAGGTTAGCTTTACATGAAAAGTCTGTTCCTTTTATAGCTCGTTACATTAATAATTTTGCAATGTGACGAAAAATATAGTTTACGACACGGGCAAAAAGTGTTTTTCAACCAATAATCACAAATTTTTTCACTTCATTTCAAGGTGAATTTTTTACTAGAGTCGAAAAGATTTAATTTACGCTCTAGTGATGAAACATACTATTTCATGCTAAATACACTTTTAAAAGTGGTATTCATGTCGAATCATAGTTTTAAAATGTATTTAAAAATCTTAAATATTGACTTTTAATAAACATTAATTTTTAACCGTCTGGAGGTCAAACGCACGAGCTGAGGCCGCAGCCAAGCAAGAAACACCTTTCTAAAATGTTACTTCATCTCAAAGTTGTTATTTGTTTTATTTCAATGGAGGCTTAGCTTATTGAAACGCCTTTAACAAACCCATCGATGAATAGTCTGCCAACTAATATTGGTAACTTAAATCATTTATTGTGTTTAATTTCGTAGTTGGCAGTGTACATAATTACAACATTATTTATATAAACTTTGTGTATCAGATTTGTTTGATGAACCAAATTAATCACGCATAAATAATTTAATAAAATGGTTTTTATTTTACCTTAACACCTACATAGTAGGCCTAATATTATACAAAATCTTGTTTTTCAATTTCCAAAATCCGGCGTCGTTATAATAAAATATACAGTGATCAATCCACTAATTAAATAAATAATAAGATTATCCAATTGAGATTTAAATGGCGTAAAATAATTCCATTTCCAACAGGTTCCCAGAATTTGTCGACTGGTGCAACAGTTGGCACCAACAATGATATTTCCCTGCTGAATTATTTTATGATTACTTTCTAGTAAATTATTTAGTTTTAATTACTCTCACCCTTTAATAATTTATGTTTTGTAAACTATATACTATATACTATAACTACTATAACTATATACTATCTATATGCCATATCTATATTTAAATTATGTTAGTTTATAAATTTGCATACGTTGCTTAAAATACCTTGTTTTTATAACATAGATTTAAAATAATCACTTAATCGTTATACCCAAAAAGGTTTTTAAATAGCATTTAAAAATATTAGTAAATACAAATATTATAATCTGATGATCATAGATATCACTTAGGTCTAGTCTCTCATATATATCCTACAAATGTGAACTATGTTTACTACAGGAACACAGTTTCTGTAACCTAACCTATGGTTGAATGAAAGAAGCTGACGAGGAATGATAAATAATGGAGATTTCAAGATCATCACGTTCTGAATTTCAAAGGCGGGGTCAACGTTATACAACCAGAATGTAGGTCATACCTGATGAATGTTCTGTTACTACAAAATTAATTTATATCCAATCTATTCTAATTTATGTTATATATAAATTTATCATTTGCAACATACAAATTTCACATGAAAATATTATTTTGGTTTGTACGAAATAAGGATTGGATGTTCAACTACTTTACCAAGTCATTACTATTGCCATTGAGTATAAACATAACTATAAGTTATGTTTATACTCAATGCTATGCATACGTTTTAAATACTCTTACCACCTTCATAGATTTTTATTGTTTCACTTTTTAACCCTATACAATACATATGGTATCAAGTAGATTATTAAATATGTTTATTTAATTCAAGATGTAGGACTAATCATATATTATCATCCTAAGAGTGTGAGAATAAGCTGGGTGTCGATCGTAAATGCAATTTTATCAACGAAAACGTTACATTTTATACACTTTGCAACGCACTAGTAGTATTCTATCCTAATACAGCGGCTACCTGTAAATCCAAAATGAGACACACCTACCCCAGCTCACCTATTGGCAGGGTTGTTCGGGAGTTTTTCCATACAACTGCAACAGTTAATCCTGCAACAGCTCACTTCGGCAGCTCAATAAAGGAGCTTCAGAATACACGGGCGAAAGATCGCGCACCCTGACCTCTCCGAGGCTGGACGAGGACTGTGGATACGAGGGGTGGATGTACCATCTAAACTCACCCTCTCCCGCCACAATCTCCCTCCAATATCACACCCGCGGGCGCACCACCCCCCGGAGTACGACTCGCCTAGTTTACACAGAGTACACATACAGCCTCAGACACGGTTCATTAAGCACCGTTTCAAACTGATTTTGTTTTGACGCTGTTTTCCATCGGTTCCTCTTTAGGAGTTAATTAGGCTATTCGAAGTCTGGCGATGAATATTTTTGATCGAAAATATTACGTAAATTGGGTTAATTAGTAAGTCGTTTATTGAGCTTAAACAAACTTGCATTAGCCAAGTCAATACAACAAAAATAAAATTGAGTTTATTATAAATAACCAAAGTTCTACTATAAATAACCATAAACTAAACATATATACATAAAAGGTTGAGGTTACATATATTATTGGGTCGTTTAAAATAGCATTGACTCAACTACTTCAAAGCCCTTACATATAAATATCGGTCTAATTGACTACCAAATATAAATTTCTTTAAAATAAACTAGATCGAAATTGTTTTCGTTGAAATCTGCATTTCGTAACCATGAGGCGCATAATAATGCTTCAACATACGAAACTATTAGTTTTTTTAAGTTCTACAAAATGATTTGGAAAGAAATTGCTAATTTGTTTTTAGGGTCAAAAACGAGAAAAACTAAATTTTACCCCATAAACCCCCTTTCCCATGGTCCGATCATGCTGGTTCGCGAACTCGTTCAAAATTAATCAAAATCGGATCACTTTTTTTTTTGCTCGAGTTATCGTGCTAACGGACAGAAATATACAAAAATATAAATATGAATCTGAACGGTTGGCATTTTTGGCCTGTAGGGACCTCAAAACGAAAAAATAAATCAGTCCCGGGTCCAGGTCTTACCATGAGTACTACAGTAATAGCTTATTCTCTATATGGGAAATTCGCAAAAATATAATGTTGTGTGACTATATGTGTATTACTAATAGGCAAAAAAACTACCGAACCGACTGTTCTTACATTTCACAAAAATATAGCTACCATACCAAGAATTATAATAGGGTGGTAATAAATTCACACTTTGATACTAACCGTGGGCTTCGCCAATTTGCCTTTAAAACTTCTGAGGTGAGCATTTTAAAAGTAAATATTGATCGGTCTCCATGGCTACAATGAGAACATTTTTTTTATTTTTTTACTTTACAATCTGTTCTATAATATATTGAACAATAAGTAAATGCTATGTAATACGACAAATTAACTTTTGAACATTAAAAATAGCTTTTAAGCACTGTCAAAAACAATTTTTTCGATAAAAAACTTTACAAAAATCTGAAGGGCAGGTTCAGAATTGATGGCCTCTTAAGTCTGTAAATTGTATCCATGTTGTTTAATAAGTTCAATGCTAAATGATTTTGATGAGATTCCAATTTCGTAATGTATCGTTCACGTTGATTGGTATCTTTGGATAATTTCTATATTAGATGAACTCGCCGAGCCCCATAGTTGAACTCCATATGTCCATATTGGTTTCAATATAGGTTTATATAGCAATAATTTATTTTCTAGACTAAGTTTTGATTTTCTTCCGATGAGTCAATTTAACTGATTAGATTTTAAATTTAGTTGTTGCCGTTTTCTCCAAATGTGTGTTTTCCAAGTTAACTTCCTATTTAAATGGATACCTAAGTATTTAACCTCAGTTACTTCGGGAAGTTGGGTGTTGTTTATTGTGACAGAAGGATAAGAATTTTGATTTAGAGTAAAAGAAATGTGGACTGATTTAGTTTCATTAATTTTGAACCTCCATGTTTTAAACCAATCATTAATTATGTTCAGATTTTGCTGTAAATTTGGAGAAGCTTGAACTGGATCACGATGAACAGACAAAATTGCAGTATCATCCGTAAATGTATCCATTTCTACCAACTCATTTTCTGGAAGGTATGCTGTGTAGAAAATATACAAAAACGGCCGGAGGACACTTCCATGAGGAATCCCAGATTCAATTGGACGCAGGTCAGTGAGGACATCTTGATATTTAATTTGGAAAGTCCTGTTTTGAAGGTAGGATTTTAAAATGGTATAAATTGAATGGGGTAAAAAAATTGTTACTTTATATAACAAGCCAACATGCCACACCTTATCGAATGGCTGGGTAACATCCAAGAAGGCAGCTGAGCAACACTTTTTATCTTCCATACATTGACGTATCACGTCAACAACTCGGTGAACCTGTTCTATGGTACTGTGTTTCCGTCTGAAACCAAACTGATGCGCAGGAATCACATCTTCGCCAATTAGGTCTTGTATCCTTTTCAGAAGAAGTTTTTCAAATAACTTAGACATTATTGGTATGAACTTACCTGGTCAAGAGGCTTCCCAGGTTTCGGAATGACTATCAATTTTGCTCTTTTGAAATGATCTGGTACATATTCAAGTTTTAACATTGTATCAAATAAAATAGTCAGAAACATTATTCCTTTTCGTGGAAGCTCTTTCAGTATTTTATTAGTTATGAGATCGTAACCAGGAGCCTTGCCAGAATGAAGATTGTCGGTGATGATTGATTTTAGTTCTGATGGTTTGAACTTCTGCAATGGGAAGTCAAGTTGTAGCGGAGCATCCAAATATTCAAGTATCTCTCCCTCGTTGTTTATTGCCGCATTTGGTTTGAACACATTCTCAAAGTATTGAGAATATGAGGCTTCAGACTTCTCTGTGTTACATTTTGCCCAGCTCCCATCAGATTTTAAAATAGGCGAAATTCGAATCTTTGGGCGCTCCATTCGCTTCGTAGCTTTCCAGAGGGAATAATCCGTAGCTTCGGAAGGTGATAGAGACACCATAGAGGGAAGGTGATAGAGATTGGGTATAATTCTCAAGCCAGCGATTTTTTACATCATATAACAGCCGCTTCAAATTCGAGATGCTCTATTAAAATTTGTTTTATCGACTGGATTCCTGCTATTTTGCCAGATTCCTCTCAAACTTCTTTTTTCCGCAATCTTCTTTTTAACAAAAATAGGGTAACTTTATCCAGGTTTCGACAAATAATGAAGGACAGGAGTTGATGTTCTCACAGAATTTTGAATGCAAGTTATAAATAAGCCAATGGCGTCTTCTAAATTTTGATTGTTTTGTAATTGAATTTTTAAGTTTAAATTTTTGTTTACTTCTTGACGAAAAAGGTCCCAATTAGTGCCCCTATTTTATAACCGTTCAGTTGCTTTTTGATGAAAAACTTGCGGAATGATTTGCAATATTATCGGTGAATGGTTAGAGGATAGGTCGATACTTGATTGGATATTAGTGTAGTTTTGATTAATACCTTTTGATATGAAGAAGTCCAATAAATCATGAGTTTTCCTCATATCAGTCGGCCAATAAGTAGGTTCACCTGTTGAAATATGATTTAGAGTGTTGTCATTAATTGTGAGAACACTCACAATGTTAACATTTGAATTGAAATTTCAATGTAAACAAGAAGAAGTGTCAAACTGCATATTTCACAATTTCAGACAGCTGATGCAAAGAAATTAAATATAACTAGGTGAAACCCGTCGAAATCGACGGTTACTTTCAAGGCTTACGTTAATTCGTCTAACTGCGATAAATTGAGTGAAGTATACATATTTTGAGCATTTAGCATTGTTTCAAGATTAATAAGTGTAAAAACAATAATGATATTAATTGTATTAGTTGCCAAATTTAGTTGATCGTTCAAGGAATAAAATATTCCCCATACCGTACGTCATTGGAGTTATTTAGTATGTTATATGTGCTTCAGTTAGTTGTCTCAGCCTTATCAATAACATAAAGTTGTCAATATAATCTCTCTACGGAATGTTAGGTGTAGTGGAATACTTGATGTAAAGTTGGCTTTTATTCTTGAACTGTTAGGGACCTCCTAGTTCATGGTCTTGCGGCTTTATTGGCAACAAATAATGCAAATGACATAGCAATGGGACATTTCCAAAAAGCAAAAATACTGTAAATTGGCTGTTACGTATAGGCTATATTGACGTAAAAAAATTGTGTTAATCAACGTATCTTATAAAGGAATATGTGATCTAGTTTAAAAGGAATATGACCTTTCTGTCTTGACAGTAGCTGCTTAAATAGTATTTTCTCTTTGTACCATATTTTACAGCCAAAATGTCGTTTATTTTCAATAATGTTACCAACCTAGTGCGCCAAAGTCCGTAATATAGGCAAATGCAAATAATTTGTCACGAGGGGGACCATTTTAGGCAAGGTTTATATGTTTGGATTTTATTAGACACGATAAGAGCAGATATTTCTACATAAATATTTGATATGTGTAGGATAATATGATAAAATGTAGGCAAAAGTGGTGAAAAGCGCAGACACCAACCCGTATAATAGATATAAGATAGTTCAATAAGAAATAATTTAAGAATTGCTGTGATATAAGGATTTTCCACTGATTTCGTAATGGAACTTTATATTGCAAAACATTACATGATAAAGAAGAAAATCAATTTCAAAATCAGAAAATTACATTGCAAATGCTTATTTGGTAGAATTCAGTAACTCCCAATAAATGTGTGTTGTTTGAAATACAATTTAAAAATGAACAGCTGTTTCATTAAAAAGTATTATTCACATTGCCAAAATGTAAACAACTCTGTGGAGGGATCTTTAAAGGCTTCTGGGGCAGAGTCCCAAAGGGGTTTTGCTTGGTTTTCTTTTGATAACTCATCTACAGAGCAAGACCTTTCTTTGGACACCTCTACCAAGATTCTACGCCCAGCCGTTCTCTCAAATTAGTGGGGACAAAGTTTCAAATTAAGTATTTAGATTTTCCCATGTTAATCTTATGGGAGAAACTTCAACTTTGATGGCCTGTGGGTCAAAGCCCGATGATTTTTATTACAGGAATTGGTGAAAGGGGGCGTCTACACAAAAAATACTTTATTTTGACACATCATTTGTAAAGATCCGTCC